TCTCTCATTTTTCTCAATACCTTTTTCATCATCAAAGGTGAAAGTATTTTATTCAATTTCAAATTACATGATGTTTAAAAATTTAGTTAACTGAAATATTTTACTTTGGTTATAAGCAATTAAAACTAAAAGTATTTTTTTACTTAAAAAGATTAAAAGAATTTGGCTAATTGATTGCACTATATTAATAAAAAATCAAAATTTGTTAATTAAAACTAAAATTTTGTATTACATTCAATTATTAAAATAAAAATTATTAACAAAATTAATAAAAGATAGGAGAGAGGGGGTTTCGCTTATTGTTCTTTTTTAGTCTTAACATTTTAATTATTTACCATAAAAAATGGTATTTTGACCTTTCAAAAAATTATAATACACTTATGAAGAATTTAATTAAAGCATTTTTATTTGCACAAGACTTAAAATTCAACTTATGTTTAATTTGAAGAAAAAATTTGGTAGACCCACTTTAAAAAAAAAAAAGAATATCTAATTTATTTAATGTTACTAATTATTTCTTTCTATTTTCTCTCCTCTTTCTACAAGGTTTTGGAGATGTAATCTCCTCCCCACAATTTTTTCATTAGTAAATAACCCTCTTTAGTTATTAATTTGGACAAATTAATCCTTATTTCACAAATAATGTAATCAGACACCATCAATTCATCATATGTTTGTTTAATCTATTTGACTGTTACCATCTCCATTTGCTACGTTGGTTTTATCATTATTATTATTATTATTTTCTAACTTGGAAATATTTTTAAAAATATGTTTGTAAATTGAAGTGGTTTCCATTTTTAGAGAAAATATTCATATATAATATTTATTCACTTACCTTTTATAAATTTAGAAAGTCACTCTTACCTATGTTTTGCCAAAGAAGTTTAATATACTATTTACCACTTAGACAAAGGATTTGTAATGCACTTCAAGGTATCCATGAAAAAGGACATGACGCAGGGATTAAACTAGAAGATCAATAAAATATTGGTTAAACTCCCATTTTGGTCCCTCAATTATTGTATGGACTCTTAATTGAGTTCCTCAATTTAAAAAATCCTTGATTTAGTCCTTACTGTTTCCATTTTGACCCAAATTGGTCCCTTCGTTAAATTTCCCTCTATGTGTCCCATTATTTGATGGGAGAAAAAGAAGACATGTAAAAATATTTTAACACACAAGATGTATATCATAGCAAAAACAATGACATGGTAAAAAAAAACCTTAAAAAATTCCCTTTTTTTTTCTTCCTTTGTTTTTCCTTTTTCCCTTTCTTCTTCCTTTCCCTTTCCTTTCACCTTCTATAAACCCTAACACCTTCTATAAACCCTAACACCTTCTAACATCAAATCCAAGTATAATACAAACATAAACCCAGAATCTCCCACAAATAGTCATAGCCCTAAATTCTCTCTCTCAGCCTCCCAAAAAGTCCAGAAAAATCAAAGTATCTTCTCCCAAATTTCTACAAATAGCCAACTAAAACATCTAAAACAAAGATAAAAAATCAAATAGTACTAGACAAATCAAAATCCATGTTTGCTACTCTTTATGTTATTGATTTCTAGTGGGATTTTTTGGTAGCTATGCCTCCCTCAATCAAATAGCTTTGAAACTAGTAGCTTTTTTCCTCCTCTTTCCCTTTCTCCTTGTCATAACCCAATTTTTATCAGGGGTTAAAGGATAAAATTAGAAGTCTATGGACTATTTTTTGTAAAAGCATGAAACTTGAAGGGTTGAGGGGAAGAATTAGCAAAACAACATCAATTTGCTTGTAGGTTGAAATAAAGTTAAAGGCTAGGAACCCTAGTCGCCCAAAACTCACATCCAATTGCTCTCTTTGCCTTGCCACCAGCCCTTCTCAAAATAGAGAAAAAATAACAAAATTTTCTTGGCTTATCCCTAAATCTACTCAAGTTTTGAAGAAATTTTTGGAGATTGAAAGTCATCATTAAGAGGTGTGGAAGAAGAGTTCGAAATTGATTCAAAGTGGGGAATTCTAAGGCATAAAAGGTGTGAATCTAGACTGGAAAAAGGGTAGATGTGGGAAGAACTAAGAAATCTCATTCCAAATAGGATTGGGTTGTCATCTTAGGGATTTGGATTGGATATTAAAAGTGTATTAAGTAGGGTTTTCCCTTTGTCTATAAAAGGGGATTCGGCTAGCCAACGGAGGGTAGAGGTGGAGAGATCGAGAGGGAGGCAAAAGAGAGCCAAGAAGAGGAAAAGTGCAAAAAAAAGAAAAAAAAAAAAGAAAAAAGAAAAAGAAAAAAGCAAAAACAAAGAGAAAAAAAAAATAGAAACATAGGAAAAACAATAGCAGAGGAAAGGTGTAGTGAAGCGTGGGATAAAGAAGAAAGCAAGAAAATCTTGTATTCTTGAAGTTTTCCTGCAAATAAATAAGATTGGATTCTTTCTTCTTTAGGTATTTTTTTTTTTTATGAGAATATAGAAGAATTTTGAGTAAATTTTCTTCATAGAAATCATGCCCAATTCACTTGATCTATTTCCTTTTCCTTCCTTTCTTTGTTATGTGTTGTTTTCTTGGTTTCCATATCAATTTGTTTCTTTTACATATTTTGTTTGGGGTGATGCTATAGGGACAATATTTTTATACCACTTTTTTATATAACTTTCACATATTATTAAATGAGTGGATACATTCAATATCACATAGCTCCCACATGAATTAAAAAAACCAATCATTTAAATTACATAACCAATCATTTAAATTACATATCAGGTTGTACAACAAGGTGGGATAAAAAAGCTTTACAAAAATCATTTCCCTTTTGTCTATCAATGATTGTGACAAAGAAAATGTTTATTGGTTGTATCCTTACCACAAACATGATTTTTTTTTTCA